TTCTTCTTCTTCTTCTTCTCCCTAGCGTTAGTCCCGCGCAGTCGCAGGGTCCGCTGTCTTTGTCAGTCGTCGCCACTTCGCTCTGTCCAGGGCATCTTCTGCTGTGGCCGTGACTTCACTTAGGTCCTTCTTGATCACGTCTTCCACCTCTTCTTTGGGGCTCCTCGCGGTCGCTTGCCTTGCACTTCGAAGTCCATCGCTTTCTTATCGGGTGGCCCTGTGGCCTCCTTAGCACATGCCCATACCATCGCAGTCGCTGTTCCCTCACCTTCAGCTGGACAGGGGCAGTCTGCATGACCGCTCTGACATCCTCGTTTCTGACCCTGTCCAGTCGCGTCCAGCCGCCCCCTCAGCATCCTCATCTCAGCGGAGTGAAGCTGCCTTTCGTGATTCTTGTTCAGGGGCCAGCACTCGCTGCCGTATAGCATCGCAGGCCTTACCACTGTCCGGTACACCTTCCCTTTGAGCGTTCTGGAGCACCTTCGATCGCAGAGGATTCCAGTGGACTCCCTCCATTTCATCCATGCCGCGTTGATCCTCCCCTTCACTGCCTGATCCACACTGCCGTCGGCTGCCAGATCGCTCCCAAGGTATCGGAAGTCCTCCACTCTTTCGATGGTCTCACCATGGCCGTCCACGATCGGCTCTGCACCCTCTTCAGAGCTCAGGAACTTGGTCTTCTTGACATTCAGCCGTAGCCCACCTTCTGCCAGGACCTTCTGCCATTCTGCATCGCACTCGGCTGATCAATAAGTGCACTTTCTTAAATCGCTTAGTCGCATGTACGCCCGCCAACTCTGAACCCTGCCTTACTGTTCCCGCCAGAAACCATCGTGCTTCCTTATCTTTTCCAACAAAGGAACCGTGGGATAAAGGTGTTATTCTTTACCTACTTGCATTAATCAGCAGAGCTTATTATAGTTCTGCTGAGTAATGCATTCAGCTTAATAATTTCCTTTCCTTCCTTCGGAGATTAACACATTTAGCGACTCACAATTTTGCATGAGCAAATTTTACAAGAACTCTTCCAAATGTCAATTGGAGCACAACCTCTTTATTTGCAGACAAAGAAGCAAGGTAAGCCAAGAAAGGCCCGGTTAGAGAGCCGACGAAGGATTACTTGTTTACTTCACGACTGAATATTTCACAACGGAATAAATCAAACTGGTTCTCGTAGAATGTTTCACTCGCTCAAATATTACTACAAAACCATTGAAAAGGAAAACTAAGCCCCCTATATCACTCCCTCAACAGTTCCTTGACAAGTTCCTTCGTCCCAGATTATTTTTTATTATGCGAACATTGTGCTTCCATGGCAACGGAGCCATCGCGGTTTCGAAGCTTTTTGTTTTTGATTACTAGGAAATGATGCGGCAATCTTTTCGCATCAGACATATTGAAATAATTTGCAAAGAAGCTTATCACTTCGGAAAATGGCAAACATATAGAAATCTCATTTTGGCTCAGCGCTCTTAGTATCGTCTTGCGAAACATTCGGAACCAAACACATAAACCACTTGGTTAGAGAAGATTGAAAAGGCAGTGCTTATTTGTCTAGCTTTCTAAACTTGGCTTTTTAGGAGAGAGCGCCATGAGCGCCTGTCCTTTAACCCTTGGACTACGACTTTTGAAAACCTGAACATATTGATATGTTTCGCGAGGTAACTATCACTTCTGGCAATGACCATTCATCTTTGGGAATTTGCCTAAGATTTGATCCATAGACCATACGCGCGTCCCTCTTGCATCACACCCCTTTTCCTCAGTTATGGAAAATTTAGAAGTACCTATTATCGGTTAAATTGCCTCTTACAAATACATTTTACAATATTTCAAATACACGTTAAAAATATTCGAAATTACATTGGTTTGAAACTGATCAGTGACCTACGCCAGGAATTGCTTTTAACCTTTTATGTGGCTATCCTCGAAGTTTGACAACTTGGAAATAGTAGCCAACAGGTCAATTCATCCAGGGTGACTCGTTTTCGCAAGTAGCTTTGTTGTCAGAGTGAACATTATGAAGTTTGTAATTGTGCAGGAACCCCCCGTTAAGGTGGCCATTTCTGTCTCGACTAAGTTCTACCACGTTGGTATTACCTTTGTACGGAATGGTAACAGCTAACACTTGTGTACAGAAAATGTATCCAATAGGGTAAAGACACCCACATGACAAGGATTGGTAAGTGTGCTCAACTTCGGGAATTAGGCGGAGATGGACTGAACAGTGTGCGAAAAAAGCGGAAGAATTATTGTCGAATAAGTCTGCCCCAGCCCAGAGGTGAAATGCTGCTCCGCTGAACCCCCATACTCTTTCAGCAGCTCCACCCTTATAAGAATTCTTCAGGGACATGGACGCTTTCTCCCAAGTTCTTTTCTGCATGCTCGTAAGGAGCTTCTCGAGGAGCACAGAACCCGTGATCATAATTTTTTCCTGAACCCTCAAGACTGTCGCAACAATGTGAAGAAATGGTCTGCAGATTCATATCCCACAGTGATGACTGATTTTGCAATATAGTTCATCTACCCGGATTGCCGCAAAATGGCGCAATCGTCGAGAGCAAATGCCGTTGCCGTGTTTGGCGGGCAATTTGGAGCGCTAAAATACATTGCAAAAATTTGTTATCACCGAGGATCGAACTTACGACCATTTCTTCTGCATTTGATATTACTGAGGCGTTCAGGAAAAAATGGAACATTGGTCACTGTCCCACAATGACTCTTAACTAACATTAGTAGATAAATTTTGGCGGAAAGTGGTGTAGTGACAAGTGGCGCGCTTACCACGCGAGCGGTCCGGGGATCAAATCCTGGGTCGTGAGTCGCCCGGGCCAACCAAGCCTTCCATCCCTCCGGGGTCGGTTAATTGGTACCAGACTTGTCTGGGAGGATAAAAACACTGACTTGTACATCGGCTGGCCCCCGCAAGTCATTGTATAGGCCACATCGCATTCAAACGCCACTGCGAATGTACAAATGGAAGTATTACGGTAACCGCATCGCCAACTAATCTAAAACACCTTTATTCCTCTTTTGAACCGAATAAATCCATCAGGCTGAACAGACCACGGAGAGAAATCATTGGACACACCAGCAAGATAGATCGCATGTACAAAAAGCAAATACTGTGCAATAATTGTTTTACAGAACTTCCCAAATTCATGACATTAAACGGGTGCCAACCTTATTCTCCTGTTTCAAAGCAAGTGGGTTATATTCAGTGGAGTCTACTGAAGACGATGGACTGCTACAAGTATCACTAAAACAATCGATGAATTAAAGAAGATCCCAGGGAAAGCTCGATGTCACCTACCTACACAACAGGCCCGATGCGTTTCCGAAATGAATTCACGCAGATATAAACACAGAGAGCGGCCAGTCCAAAAAATGATGTTGTATTCTGTTTGATAAGTTCCTATGAATACATTGCTGGTGGCCACGTGTGTCTTCCAGGCCGCATTGCTTTTCCATGAACACTTTATTTTGTTACCGTAATTTTTGCCCACCCTGTAAAATGGAAGTAGAATGCGTGCCGCATCCCAAAAAGGGATGGATCGACGGCAAATGCTTTATCCTTTTATCCTTTTATTTTGAGAGAACGTCCCATGTCCTGAAAGACCCTCCTTTAGATGGAGAGTGTGTTCAAAGTTTCAAGTTTGCGAAGGACGCATTTTAGAACAATCCTTACTTCCATAATCGTCAGTCCGTACAGCCCCCAATACAGTAATTGTGCTAGGGTGATCTCCACTTTGTCTGTTTTGTAGGGAAACCTTCCACGTTCAATTTTGATCTCTATTTTAATTAATTAACCACCGGTGAAATACTGTAAACACTTGATCAAGTTTTATGGAGGGCAGATCTACCTAAAGAAGCACAACAGCGTTGCTTTTGTGGTACCATCTGCTCTCCCGAAGCCTCCTAGCGTATCGCTTATGACCTGTGATTCTTTTCGCCACATTCGCAACACTCCCCTCACCTAGTAGCGGGGTTGTCTTTCGGTAACAAAGAATAAGAAAAAAACTCTCACCACGGCCTTCCTAAAAAGGCAAGGCATTCCAAATACGAATAAGGAGGGACGAAAGGTTCAAACTAGCGTTTTTCCATCTGAGAAACCATTCTATTATTGGTCTAGTTTATCGGTCTCGACACATCTATCTGATACTAAAGCCTAAAGCTCAAGCTGATCTCCGGCAGATCGCGCCACTTCCCTGATTTCCCTTTCTGAGGCCGTTCATCATCAACACTTGGTCTAACAATTGCGTACAGATGCTTCAGCGTTCTTCATGGAAACTCTTCAAGGGTTTCTAGGCTATCTGAGTTACCTAAGGCGCATGGAGACGATGTTAGGATCAGCTTCTGCTGTGCTTCGAAAACTCGCTTGAAATGTTGCTTCCCTCATTGTTTCCATGACACAACTCAGGCGGTGGGAATGAGTAGCCTAGGTTTTTTCAGGGTTCTATAAGTGAAGACCGTTACCCAAGAATGTGTTAAGTCATTTGTGACCGTCACAAATTCCTTGTTCTCTTTTCGTAAAAACCGATAGGGGAGTCAAGGGGAGGATGTCCAATCCCCTTGGCACCATATGTGGAAAGCGCCATCCAATTCGTAGGTACGATGTATTAAATAAGCACAAGGGATCACGTCAAACACCATCGCATTTGCGTAATCATGTGAGTGCGAGACTAAAGAATTACCCATATGGAGCATGTTGCCTCCCGAACATTTAATTAAGGTGCAGTTTGTTTTCCCCCACTAGGAATTTGATTATATAACAGTCATTATCACAAAAAACCATAAGATCTAAAAAACTGTCTCTGAATGAACGGAAGCCGCAGCAGTGGAGTTTTCAAAGAAAAGTGCTGAGCCGCACTCGTGCCATCGACATTCCAGGAATGACTACCAAAAAGTCATCATCGTCTGGTTGCAGCATGTCGGAATGAGGGACAGAGAGGGGAAGGTGGGTTACTAACTCTCCCTTCACATTCGAAACGGACTTAGCTACTCTTTTCTGGAATTCAAATCGAATGCTCCCTAGTGAAGATTGATAGGCGCATTTCAATCAAGCAAAAAACTTCATTATAGCCCTCAAGCCGATGACATTGAGGATCGGCCACGAAATCAGGGAGTAGTGTCCACGGTCAATGAGGTCCTCGAGAGATCGTGGACCATTATAACGTTATCTGAAACGCTGGTCGGAAGTGATTTCTGCATAGTCAGAGCTACTGTCTCTAAGAAGTCATTCTACCAGTTATCACAACCGATCGAAAATTGCATAGCAGCTTCAGGTTGGAGCAGATTACCGTAGGCCTTTTACAGCCCGACGGTGATGTCAGATGAGGTCATGTTCTGAGAACGGTGACAGCAGTGAGGAGGGCCCACTGTCTCAACTTATGAGCGAGGGGCTTCTAAGGAATTTGCCGTTAGAACTCTTCTCACGACAGTACCCCATGCGACGAAAAGGTTGCTGATATGCGCCATGTAATGACATTTTTCAGCCCCTTCCCTTTAATTCATGAGCTAGAAGCCCCGAAATGGCGAGCAAGACATATGACATTTGCAAGTTCTCGCTCGCGTCTATTTTTTGACTGAATAGAAGCTACTTCTGCAAAGGTGTTATCTATGGATTGAAAAGGTCATTTAAAGTGCTAGCTTCGTAGAATATCTCATGAATATATGACATTAAATAAATAACATGTGCTTGCAGAAACTTGATAACAAGAAATATCATGAAGTAATACCCGCTGGCAATTACAGTAGGTAACTCATTTGCATGTTTGCCTTTTGGAATTAGGTATGCCGAGTATTTGATGGTTATGTCTGCCCTCCTACGCGCTGTCCAGCAAGGCCATAGGCGACATCAACTGCCCTGCCATCGCTAATTCAAGCAAATTTCATGGATCACAAGGAGAAAATGATAAAATGTTTCACAGTAAATAAATCGACGGTGTCCTACTGTGAGAAAAGCTCAAAGGAAAACGGAGACTGTTGAGCTGGGAAAGCAGAGGTTCGTATTTCCCTGGCTACGAGAATAAAATCGCGCCAGCAGTGCCAGCTGCTAAATGCGCTGTCCAGCAGTTGTCACAATTCTTTCCAATTTTATAGTTTTTCGACTCAAAAAAATCTGGTTTGCTCAAAAAAGCGCTCCAATTTCACACCGGGAGAGTTCAGTTACATATACTATAATTCGCCTTCCTCGAGGGAAGCAAAAAGAACTAAGTCATAGAAAAAAAAAACCAACAAAAATGAAATTCTTCTTGACAACAATGGCAGATACGTGCTTGGCGTAATTGCAAAACATTTCACACTGATGCTCAGCCACTAAAAAGACCTCACAGGAGGTTGTCACAAAGGGGATCTTGCTACTTTGTTACCAGAGATAACGGCAAAATAGTACCAAATTTGATAAATTTACGATATCGTTTAAAAGTTCGCTAAAACTTGTTTCTTTGCATTTCTTTTTTTTTTTTTTCTTAAAAAGATCTAAATATAACTGGGAAAATCTTCTTTCGAATTTTAATCCTTGAAATTTAAGGTATTGAAAAATACCAAAAGACGCAGTACCTTCAATATCTGTGATATAAAAATACAGAATAGAAAATACCCCAAGTGAGAATAAATAATGTACAAAACATATCGTTTCGCCAAGTGCTTCTGACGGCTGCGATTTCTCGATTTTACACAAAAAATAAGATATTATCGCAAGTCTGAGAAATTTTGAAGCTTGTCCTTATAATCTAGCAGAAAACTTTCTGCACAGACTTAATCAATGTTACAATATCAGAACAACTAGCTGTAAAAGTAAGTCGGATTCAAACCACTCTCTATAGAAGAGACATACTAAACCATCGATTGATTGATCAATGTTCCCTAAAGGCAGAATTTACGATGAAAAGTTAGCTCATTGGAAATAAGGGTAGAGGTGGTCAGTGGAGCAGGATGAAGAAGAAACCATTTGAAACGGCCCGAAACCCGAGAAATGGGACCCCTTCCTTGCCCGTTGATTTGCGCATTGATGCGACTCTCATCGCTGTGCCCTCTTCAACACTACGCTCTCTCCGAATGGTCTGGAACGTCCAACCGACTTCTCATTACTCGCCAGGTATAGACCTTCGGCCGATGATTGATAGTCGATGGCCCGTTCCGCGCCCAACTGCGCCTAGAGTGAGTCTATGCTCATCTCCATGTTAAATTTCACTGTCAATTTGCGCTCGGTCAGCACCCTTCAGATGCCCACCTGCTTCCCAACTATACAATGCTTCCCTCCTTTTTCCTTCGTTCTTATCGCGAATTCCCTTCTAAGTTACATAATTAAGGGCTAATTCTTGATAGGGAGCAATGTGGCACAGCTTCTACGTTAGCCGTGTAACCAGCCGGAGCGCACTTAAACGGGGCGAGACACAGGTAACAGGCATTATACTTCACGATTCCACAGAACACATTTGTTCTCCATCAACCTACGGGGCATTCGAGAGGAACCAAATAAAATGCTCCCTATTTTCAAATTACAGGGAATGGCAACGATGTTTTCGGAGCGACCGTGAAACCGTGGGGGGTGGAGGTTATGGAGAGAGAATACATAGACTTCGTATAGAATTAAATTTATTTATTTATTTATTTAACTATTGCGTCGCAATTATGACAATGAGGACATGGAAAAGCAACAAGTTAACAATAGAAGAGTCATGATTACATGACACAGAAGCAATGAGGGAGGGGGGGTATGTGGTAGTCAGAAGGCCCCGGCCAAACACTGCAAGCCGCGGGGAGGGATCGCAACCCCTATACCAGTTTAGTAGGTCCTCCAAGCTCAACCGAGGAATCAGGATGGTAAGGTTGATTTGAGTAAATCTCCTCAATTACTCTGTTCGGCACATGCTAATAGAGCATTTTATCCGTTGGCATTAAGTGTGGAATATTTTATAGCGTCCTAGATTGCGCTGCTTATGGTCCATAATGCATCGGGAATCCCATAATAATAACGATGGTTGTTCCGCGTTACTTTTTCACGTTTATTGATCTCACTTTGTTACGTGCTAACAGAGCATTTTATCGCTGGCAATAGGTGTGGTATATTTCACTGTCCCCTGACTCACCTCCGCAGTACTTGCTAATGAGTCCGCTTATTTAACGGCCCTCGCTTATGTCCATAAATGACATCTGGAAACGCCTGCAGCCAGCTTCTCATAAGTAACAATGATCGATGTTTCGCGTTATTTTTTCATCGTTTGTTCGATCGCCCTTCTGTTTTATTTTTTGAGAAGGGTAGCCAAATACCCTCTTCTCATAATAATAGCGAGCAGTGCTTGCAAATGAGTCCCTCAGGTGCTTTGACGATGAGGGAGTTGGAATGCAAGGGTTACTCGAAATTTAGTAGCGCTCTCTCGACTACATCTTAAGGACTGAATCTGATGACATTAAAAGTAAGAGCAAAAATGGGGATAGGGAGCGCCTCGTTGTTTTGGATGGCACAGTGGATGCCCCCTCCCACTGCCCGAGCTTCAAGGTTGGCCAATGTGCTTTGCAAAGGTTTTAGCAGCTTTACTTGTTGTTTCTCATCCAAAACTCGACCTGAAATACCTTATACACTTCTCCCTTTTCAAGTGTCGGACGCTGCAAGGCACGACTATTCGATCACGGAATGTGCCTTTAGGATCTGGTAGATTTTTTCGTAAAAATCCATGAAATTGGGTCATTTTGCGTGGGTGGTTTTCTAGAGAATCCCTTCATTGACTCATTGTTGGTGCCCTTTTACGAAGTTATTTTACTCGGCCTGAAAAAAATATCACTAACACAACTGGTACATAACTAATTACAAGTGCAATCACTCAAGTATATTTGCACTCGATGGGATTTTCATTTTTCATGAGTAGGTGCAACAAAAAAGGCTTCTATTCAGAACTGTGATCACCGCCTACAAACCTGGAGATAATTAAAAATTCAGCTTATTTTCAGTGAAAGAAAAGCTTTGAATCAACGCTGACGAATACTGAAGCTAAAAACGGACTCCTCGTCATCACCTTCGCAGAATTACCTAACAATTGCTATCTCAGAATAGATGTTTACGCTAAGGTGTACTGGGAAAATGAGTCACATAAATGTAAATTGTTCAACGTGACCTCCTACTATTTTTGATCAGCGAACTGTTTGTAATGTGGCTTTCTAAGAATCTTTCTCCCTGTCCTTTATCCTTCACTAAGGAAGTTCGGAGCGCAATTCGTCGACATCTTCACCAGCAGAATACTTTGCCCCTCAGTAGCGCATTCATACCAGACTGTCGGTGTGTCTGACTGTTAACTGTGTATGCTTCGAAAAGCGCTTGTTTGTCTAAGGGCTAAGGTTGATTTTTGCAAGACCTTACCCGAAATGGCAGCTTTATCTGAGCATATCACTGAATAAAGGATAAAGGGTAAAGCATTTGCCGTTGATCAATCCCGTTTTGGGATGCGGCACGCGAATAAGGGCGGAAGTGGTGTAGTGAAGTGGCGCGCTTACCACGCGAGCGGTCCGGGATCAAATCCTGGGTCGTGAGTCGCCCGGGCCAACCAAGCCTTCCATCCCTCCGGGGTCGGTTAATTGGTACCAGACTTGTCTGGGAGGATAAAAACACTGACATCTGGCCCCCGCAAGTCATTGTATAGGCCACATCGCATTCAAACGCCACTGCGAATGTACAAATGGAAGTAGAATGCGTGCCGCATCCCAAAAGGGATTGATCAACGGCAAATGCTTTATCCTTTTATCCTTTATGATAAATCAGAAAGCTCTTACCAGCCGGGTAAACCGCTCGAGAAACGCGTGGCCCCATAGCTGAGCGATGTAGTGCGGCACGATAGCAAACGCCCAGAATGGTGCCCAGCAGACGAAATGGAAGACTGCTATCCGCCAGATGGACTTGCGCATTTCAAGCATGTATCGAGGCTCGCGGAGCGGTTTTCGCTGAACCTCACCGCACCTGAAATCGTTGATATCTCTTATCTTGTATCAATGCGCTCTCGCCGCTGTTCTCTGCTCTGCGGATCTCCAAAGTGATTCCTTTGGTAAGGCCGACTCTATTTCTCTTGAGGAACAAATCGAAACAGGGCGATTGCAAAAATTACAAAAGTGAAGCCGAATGCAAAACATTGTGAGCGCTATCGCAAGGTACGCGGCAACCGTTAGGGATATGCATTTGAGCCGGGTATAACATCTCATTTTGTTGGAAATTGGGGCAAACCTCCAGGTGGGGTAGAGAGACTCCAGGGTGCGTGAGCGATTTTCTTCTTCCCTTAAGCTACTGCCCCTTCCAGGCTTAGCCGTAAAGAATGCCCCGTATCCTGTGATAGCGCCTAATTTTGTACAGGATCGTCTTCGCCTTTCACCGAATCGGCTGAAATGAATCTTTTCACACTATGAAGAATTGCCACCTGAACCTTCAGTTGACCCTTTTTAGACAATTTCGGCAGAAATGCTCCTTCAGATCACGCATAGCCTTATTCGAATGGATGAACAGTTTTATCACAGCACACATTTTAAGTACTCCCCACAGATCCCACCCATAAGTTTATTGAATTTTCAGATCCTACGTAACTAAGTTGAATATCATCATAAAAATGGGTACTCGCACTCCGTGAAAATGGGAATTTTCATGAAGGTTGTTAGAGGATTGTCTACCACGAGAAGATGTATCGTATAAAAGATGACATCAACAAAATCCTGTGAAACCAAACTGGTTAACAATGTAACCTAATGATAAAGTACACGTATGCAACATGTCGATAGAGATTCTATCAAGGTGGGGTCTTATTAAGAGCCAACCCCGGGCAAGACCCCGCGCTTCTATCAAAATTTCTTGCACATCGCAGCCCATTGTAGAACAGCGCTAAAGACCATGTTTCGTTTTCGCTGAACGGCCTGAACGGTTTCAAGCATACCAAAAAAAGCGTTAAGATACTACCAATGGTCGATTCAACGGCGACTAAATTTTGTCATTTGAGTTTTTCTCCTATAATGTGCTGTCGAACGGTGCCATATGTCAGAATCAGGTGTCATGGTTAAGACCACAAGGCCACCTAAGTAGGCCGCACCCTTGAACACAAAATTTAGTCGCCGCGGGGATCGAACCATCGAGAGGTATCATTCACCACTTTTTAATACTATTGAAACCGTTCAGCGAAAATGAAACACGGTTTTGTGGTCCACACATGCGTCCCTACAATATGCAGGAAACCGTTTCCAAAAAGCCCATCACACTCTCCTGTTAGCGTCCCTCGTGGTTGTGCCCTAAGCAGTGAAGGGTTCATAATATGAATTTGAGGTTCTCCAGATCATACCGACATTCTATAATAGTTCAATGCTTTCAGAAATTCCCTAATTTTGCCCCTCCTCATTTTTTTCACAGCTTTTCACAAGCCTTCCTCAATCATGCTTACAATTTGTTTTTTCGATGACACTATTTAATCTCTTCATTTCTCTAATTGAGAATTTGTGTACATGTGAAGCTAGTGATAGCGTCGGATTTAGGGGGTGTCCCACAGCTTATCGAGTGACGAGAACGCTGAGGAGCCTAAGCCGATTAGCTTAGGCAGGAGATAGCTTCCGATTAGGGTGGAAAGCGGAAATGCTGCTGCTTCGAACTCGACCTAGTTCCTTTAAAAAATAGGAATTTAAATTTAAAGTTCTCATCCTAGTTCGAAAACGATAAGGGCTTTGAACATATGGATAACATCAGGTTTTGTAGCTTCCTGATGGCCCCAAAAAGGGGAACAGAGAGAACCTGCTAGGTCATCGTTCCCTTCCTGCATAAACAAAGCATGAAACAAATTTGAAAACAACAAACAATTTGAAAAGATGAACAAAAGTAAAAACTGCCAACAGGAAACGATGCCAAGGTCGCACTTTGCTCTCGGCAGAGTAATAGCTGTGTCTCAAGTTGAAGCGGGCCTAAATGACACTACCAACACCGTCAACCATTGAATGTGGTGGAGGTGGTGGGGTGGGGTCGTATATGGAAAACTGGCTTGTGCCATGGTTGACTCTGCAGAAAAGGCCAACGTGAATGCGATATCCGTTTGAAAAAAACAAGTTGTGAACATGATGAATAGCTTGTCGGATGAGTGAAAGTAACACTTATCGCTTCGCAGTAAATTATAAGAACAGTTATTGGATGGCAGAAAAGATGGTAATAGCCCACGGCGTGATGTAGAAAAAGTGAAGCCTTCCACTCTATGTGAAGCAATTCAAAAAACTGCCTTGAACCCACCATAATTTCAAGCGATCAGCAAAATGTGAGTGCAGTGGATAAGAAATGAGTAGGTGGAACGATTTTGTACAGGGTGGGCAAAATAACTGGTGCACCTGCATGTTTTGACCTTTCTAGTATTCTTATTGTAGGCATTCCCGTTCCATGCCTTCATAAGATTTGCTTGAACCGCTGCTACTAGAACTGCTGATTACTGATTACACAGTGATTTGGCTTTTCTCTCTGCGAACTGCAACCATGGAATCCCAACACAGCGCTATACAATGCGTTTTCGTCAATTTCTCACATTTTGTAATATTGTTCGAACAGCGTTCAAAGGCGACATTTGTTTATAGCCATAAGCTTGGCTTCACTTTGGAGAGGGTCATGGGCGAATCAAGCAGAGGCTTTGCTTCGAAACAGTGACCGAGAGGGATCCAGGAAGAGTGCGCCAAGCAGGTCCCCGTCTACATCAATTTCGACGAATGGATCTCCAAAGTACCGCATTGAACCGGTACAAGCTCGAGTATGGGCTGCCTTGGAGAGGAAAATCTGCGCTGTCCTATACACTAACTGGAACCCCCTCATAACTGCGCTTCTGTAATCATGGGACGAAACTCATGGAAAATACCTGCGCGTCGAACGCAATGCGCTCGCCAAAGAAACCGGTGAACCCGCGCTCTTGTTACTTCGTCGCGAAATTCTTTGGTAGTTGAAAAGTAATATTGCGCATTATCTGGACGAGGGTAAGTCGTATACGTGGGTGAACCTCCTTACGTGAGGTAGAGGTATCAACTCTCTCAGGAAGAAGGATTTTGTAGTATTTTTGGAAGTTTTTTCAAGCATCGCGGTTGACCCTGGCTCCAGAGACGTGCCTGACATTTACATCTATCCATTGTGTCTCTCAGCTGCCAGATCACCCTACGTCAGGAATGTGGTGAATGGCAGGCGGACCTGCTGATTACTGATGACGATAGCCTCCTAATCGTCCATTCGTGGGAATGCAATTTTTTGTGATTTGTTGGAAATAATTAGGACTCAACCATATAACTCACTACTTCCGGCTCCTTTCATAACATTTCGTGGTATTCTCGTTTTCGTCAAGGGTTGAAGAAAACCCGGAGAGGATATCAATTATTCATTCACATAATGCTAATGAGAAGTTTTTCAATGAATATGAACCGAAAAGTACATATCTTACTGAGCAGCGTGGAAAAGAGAACGTTTCAATAATCGATAACACCTCTCCGTCACTAAATATCAAAGCCTTAAAGAGTGGAGATTAGATCGGATTGTGAAAACTAGTAGACGACCCACCTCGGGGCAAAAAAGCGCTAGCATGTAGGTGTGAGCACCAGGTTTGAGATAAACCCAAGTTGAAGACATTGCCCACCTTTTCTGTTTCTGAATTTCGCTCTCACATGGCGAACAAGCAGTATGTAGCAGACAGTCATCAGAAAGAATGGTACCACAAATCCGACGACAAATGTGTATTGGGCGTACATATTGAACACATGATCGTCCATATTTGGTATACAAACAGTTATGTGTTCCTAAAAAGTAAATCGTGAAAAGGAATCAAAAAATTCTTAGAGTTTTTACCCGAAAAAGTTCTAAAAAGCGTCAGTGCGTCATTAGAGGCAGAGCTGATAAAGTACCTGAATGTTTCGGGTCATACCTCGGGTGTTCCCGTCAGCCTGGGTCACTCAGGCCATTCAATTTCAAATGGCTTGAAGGCCAGGGCGTGATTAGATCCATGGAGGGATTCCTTCCTCGAGTGAGGTAGCAGACCCCTTATCACAGAGGTTTTGGTACTGTCGCGACATTAGAGAGCTCGACAAGGGAGCTAATGCTTCGTATGACCGCTGCGGCCGCTGCCATTCGTATCAATCGTAGCATGCTTGACGTCTGCGCCCTCTCGCCTGGGACGTGCTTTCCCACAATTTCCTTTCGGTGTTTTCTATGGTACAATTCCTCCCGCACATGCTCCATTTCTCAGTTCATGTCGAATATTTGATGAACAGCACATCAATTTATATGATGACTTACGCCTTTGAATAATCGGTGCCACATTTTAAGAACTTGGCCGGAAAGTTGTACACCTTATGTTAGTAGGAAGGACACCGGCCGCAATACATTGTATCTTACGTGCCCGAGCTGAAGTCGCTTCATTATTCTAATGGGTGCCAAAAGCGTGGCGTGAAGAATTGGCAAGAATTGGCAAGTCCTCCAAGATACGCCACGCTTCTGACCTCTTTTGTTTACAATTGTACAGTAATATCATTAGAAGCTCGAGTGTTTTGATCCGCCTTTCACATGAAGAGCCATTTTTATATAAACCACCAAATTTGGCAATTTGTGAAGTATGTCAAAAGAGTGCCGATATTTTACGCCAGGATTGTCTTGTCCTGGAGGCTCCTTTCAATCTGAATGTGCATTATCACTGAGAGACTCCAAAGGTTTCCTACAAAAACCCTAACGAATTTCAAATGACATCCTCCCCTCCCAAAGCCTTGCATGGCATTGTTTCAGGTTACAAGGTAAGGTCAACTGGTCGCCCGGCTATCTTAAAAAGGAATGTATACATTGTATGCACCCCTCGAGACGCTGAAGTAGAATCTGCTTTCGTTATCAGTGGAATGATTTCTCAAAAGAAGTTATGAAGCAGGGAAGCGCAGCGCTAATGAACCTGATTCAAGAGGTCATGGGATCGAATCCAATCCCAGCCCTGTTTTGCTCATTTCAGAAATATAGCTACAGGCCTCAGAAAGGCTTTTAGCACAATCCTTATTTCAAATGGCCGAACTGACCTAATGACTTCCCTTGTTAGCTACTTTTTTCTGGCCTGAAAGATTTACCTAATTATTCCGGTAGTTTTGAGAAATATGTGGCTAGCTCACCCCACTTCGTTCTAAGTAATATTTCATTAACATGAAGCAGTTCTAGAGTTTGGGCTGTATTTTCCGAATATTGATTAATTAGCCAATTAAAAGTATTTAAGCTCAGTAGAATGTGCTAAACGCTGAAATATTGGCACGCACGAAAACTTTTGGGAAATTTTTGGGACTTTTTGAAGTTTTCGTAGGAAACTTTTGGAGCCATAATTATCAAGCAGAATTGCACATTCAGTCTAGTGTGTTGCTAGCAAGCTGTCTCGCTATTTGATTAATGACGGATAACCCAGAAATAAACACAAGGGAAAGTAATATCGAAACTAGATTTATGCTGAATTTTTGATGCATTACTTCACATTAACGTCACTCCACCCGTTGGCACAAAGATTCATTCACATCCACGAGCTACTCTCGCAAACGCTCCATATTCCCCTGCGAGGCATTAAGGATGAAAATTATGACACCAATGAGCGCGCACTGATGAACGACCGAGTCCCACAAAAACTAAGCGGTCACGGGTGTCCCCCAAGAGGCCCACCGCGCGGCGAAGCAAGAGACGCAGATGCGGCAAAGGACGAGTCGCAGCGCGTGCTGTGCGATATGAGACGTAGTATGGTACACTCTATTTAACCTGACGCCTAACCGCTACAGTATGCGCTGCGACTCGTCCTTTGCCGCGTCTGCGTCTCTTCCTTCGCCGCGCGGTGGGCCTGTTGGGGGACACCCAGCGGTCACTGAACATGAAGACCCACACGAATTCCAGAAGCGGTCTCGCACCGCCCTTTATATGTATCTTTTTTACTGGGCTGCGAGTTGAGGATAGCATGGTGCAGCGCCAAAAACAGCCTACCGTAACCTAATCGAGACTCCACTGAGCCACCTAAGCCTGTTATCTTTCGATGTTCATCAAATGGTACCAGGTCTGTTCTTCATAACCGGTAGCACAGCTACATACCTGTAAAGAGAGGTGGTGGTTCGATGCCCGCCTGTAGGCAGAGAGTTTCACCTATCACCCAGCATTCTTGTGAAAAGTGTCCGGGTTGTTCCAGATATCCAACACTCATGGATCGGCTGCCTCTAGCCAAGAATATGCATGGGCGAGTCGCGTCATTGAACCTTCTCCCTTGATTTACCCTTTCAAGCCGAAAGCGTGGCGTACCCCGTGAAGGATTTGGCATAGGTTTCTACGATTTTAGTGGTTTTTCCATTAAATGTACTTGATCACGCGAACTCAAGTGATTGCATATGTGAACGAGAAGTACTCACCATCCCTGGAATGGTGAATTGATGGTGGATGATGTGAAAAAAGTGGAAAGTAGACGGCACTACCACACAGAACAACGTGCCTACCACCAACGGGACACTGGTCATCCACGAATCGCATGCTGTTCTCAGCCTGTAACAACTGTCACTATACAAACAGAACATGAGTCCCACTTCGGATCGGTAGACACACTGAACGAACCTTGTGCATACTATAAAATATCGCTCGAGGCTCATCACCGTAAGCAGAACGATTGAGAAGAGTTTGGCAACAATTTCTATCGTCAAATGAGCGTAGCACATCTAAAAATAGTTTATTGAATTTATTTCAAGACTTTAGGGATTCATCCAGGGATGCCCTGCCATGACAACAAGCACAATCTATTGGCGTCATTTCTTCGCACAGAGGAGGTGCTAATGATGTTTTCGGCGGATTTCCCTTGCAAGGCGACAAAAACGTTTTCTGCAAGATTGATAGGATCGCCTACGAGCTCTGATCGCCGACATGGAACGGCCCTTGAAAAACGTCGCCAGGCTAGGCTATTTGGGCGCAAGGGAATTTTTGCGCTTTGATTCACTACTTTCAGGGAGATGAACGGATGCAAAGCAGTTTGCTTTCTACTGGATGCTATCCAGTTCAGATGACTGCTTCAGGGCAGGGTCGACCCTACCGTTGGTACTTTTCGAAAATTTGAAAATTTTTACGACCTCCCCCCACATGGGGAATTTGATACGACCCCACCATCACCATGAGACTCAAGAGGCTCCCCATACGATCACGCTTCTTTCGACCCCAACCATCACCGCCACGGTCATGACTGTTTCTATAGTACTTGATTCTGACGGCCTGTCGACACAGCCCAACCCGCCTACTTTGCCCTCCAAAACGGCTGTCGTGCGGGGGAAGGGGGTATACGTGCGGTATACGTGTAGTAAAGCGGTAAAACAAGCCCTAAACTTAACCCAACCTATTATGCATGTTCATGTTGTCTCACGCAATACTCAGGTTTCACAAGTGACTTCATGGGGCTGAAATGAGTACAACCCCCCACAGACTCAACAAAATACGACCCCCCGTTGGTACTTGTCGCAACATAGGGTAGACCCTGCTTCGGGGTCATTAGTACCCACGGCTTCATCTCTTTGAGAAACTTTGTTGTTGTTCTCACGAGTTGTTTAGCGCAATCGAAAGTTTCTGTGGGCAACGGACACCAATCCAGGATCCCTTGAAAAACCCTTGAAAATAAACTAGACTGCGGTTGGTACTATTAATAGAATTGGAGGGTCTGCGACGTTGTCACATCGCAAAGTACTGCCATTGGCAAGCTGAGGCTAAACCTTCGAACTTCTCAAAAATGAAGGTAAAGGCTAAAAAAGTAGGAGTACATCCAAACGAGTTCTTCATGAACAGTTCTACCTAATGGTCTAATTTTCAACCAATTGGACCGCTTTTTTCAAACTTGGGAGCGACGGAAGAAATCTGTCCCAAGTCGCTGACTGAAGAAAAATTATGGGAGATCTCGTGAACTGTAAGCGATCGGAGGGCTCATGAACTTCCTGAGCAAATTCTCCTTTGCTAAATGTCGACGCTTGTACTCAATATAGTAAGGCATTATTAGAGACAATAGCTCATCCGTTAAGCCTTCAACTCCTCACTAGGAACTATTGCAAGCTCCTGGAATATCCCCACTTAGAAGCGTGCACAGTTATTCATTCGGTATTTACCTGCGATGCCATTTACCTGGAAATGACTTCGGGAAAAGGAAATTGCATGCAAACGTGCAGTTAAAATCTCAACCCTCGCAATAGGTGAGGCTCAACATGAACAGCACCTCAAAATACCGCAAAACTATAAGTGATGCCAGTATAGTGAATAAGCTCCAACCAAGATTGATAACAACTTTTATTTGGCTTACGTTTCGGCGCTTTCCTCTTTTACAGCCGCATTACTGTCAGCTCAGGGTGGCAGGTGGACCTCATTGGTCGACTTTTCTAAAGGTTAGTTGTCTTTTTTCTGTCCCACGACGTCGCCCTAGTAGTTTACCCCTGCTGAGCGATTCTTGTAGGTTGAAATAGTATTTGGACGGGTAGTTTCGTAAATGGCTTTCCTCTTTCCAGGCTCTGAAGAAGGCGAAAGCGCCGAAACGTAAGCCAAATAAAAGTTGTTATCAATCTTGGTTGGAGCTTATTCACTATACTGACATATTCTCTACGACTCATGCCAAGATTCATTGAGAGTCGCACATGGAAACTGCTGTAAGTGTGATTTAATTGAGTCTTAAAAATCGTAGAGGAGTTCGAAAGCTTCTGATTTTCTGAGTGTTTGCTGCATTTTAGAACCCCTACTTCAAAGTGGTTACTGCAGTCAGATGAAAGAACGTTTGAACAACTCACAAATTCTCCAAAGATCCAAGTTCCCTTTGTAATTGTAACTGGCAGTGAGTGGCAAAGTGAGCAATAGGACGAGATCGGAGCAGGCAAGGGCGAAGATGTAGATCCTCGATCGTTGTGAGATGCTCAGCCCGATTGTAGCTGTACTTAGAAGCCTGAACTGGACGAGGGTCAGTGGTAGGCCAAGACCAGTAAACGACCAATTCAATTGACCTGGCTTGAATGAGTTTGAAGATGATCCATAGATTTCCAGGTGTGCCGATAAGGAAGACAGCGATATAGACGATGGTCATCACCCCTTTGGCGTATGCAGTCCGGAGACTTTCGGCCGGGATTGAGCCCTCCGACCGAATCGTCCGCGGTATCGGCTCCATTGGCCCACTGCAAAAGCACCGGAGTAAAAGGGTAGAACTGCTCGAAGGGGTTGTTCTTCGAAAAACAACCGCACATGCCGGTCCCTCGACGATAATCACCGGACACAGCGGAACGAAACAACAGGACATTGAACGTTTCTTACATAAATTCTTGCATTTTGAATGATGTATGGGATCGAGAGATGAAAAGACATCACTACAAGAAGTATGCAAATAGCAAGAAGTGCAAGAGAAGGGCACCAGACTTGCTTGAAGTGGACTTCAGCTAGCCAGCTAGCCCTGTCCTCTTTTAGTTATTCTGTTCACTGCAACAGACAGACTTTTTGCCAGTGCTTGTCAGATGTCTGTAGTCATCTTTCTGCAACACTAACTTAAAACCTGCGCCGATTATCCTAACTGTACACAAAATAATCTCGTTGAAGATAATCATACAGCAGTTTGCAGCTTGCAGCTTCGTCTTTTACTCGAATGGCTACGGTATGAGTCAACGCTCTCATCATCCAGATGGATCGATCGCCTGAGCGACTCGTCGATTCATTCGGCTAATTATAATACTCTAAAGAGTCAACAACGTCTCGTAATCTATAAAACATGATATTAGTAATGAGCTTCCTATTTTCCGAATGCTATGCCATCCCGACGGAAAGTCGCCCGAACGGCTCCTTCTTTATGAAAGGCGTCATCGAAATAGACTAGTAGCTTGATCATTGACTTGCTTACAAGTTTCTTGGTGTTCTAAAGGTCGTTAGAAAATGCACTGGGCATAATAACAAAATAGAGAACCCCACGCATTGTCACACTTTCTAGCACTTATCAATGTGCCACTAGAGAGGCACGGGTAAGAGTTAGAGGGCTAAGAGGTTGACGGTATTAAGTCAGGGAAGGCATGGAAGGGTACGTAGACGAAATTTGCCCTAGGCGCACAGCACCAGGATCAACTGTCCGCCTGCGCTATTAGGTGGAGGAAGTCACATTTGGGTTGAGAACGGCTGACTATGTTTGGGAAAAGTGCTGGTCAGGCTAGTGAGGGGTTGGTCGAATTTTTGCGAGTCTTTGATGGTTTTGGTGAAATCGTTGCGAATGAGGTGAAACATGCGACATTGGAAGATTTGCAGCATCAGACATATTACGACGTTAGCCTCGCCGCTCCCCCTCCCCCCTCTCAGCGCAAAGGACGGAGTTGCGCTCTTACTGGCTTCAGAATAGTATAGACTATAGAAAGAAAAATAGTTAGATTCGAGTAAAAAATAGAACTTGGAAATTTTCAGGCTGACGTCAAAGATTGTTCGACTTCCTTTTCGCAGTACCTTTTACCAGGAAGGTCTTTCAGGGCGTGACGAGCTTTTTGAAAACGGTCTTTTGCATGATATAGGGGCAGATGCGGGAACCACAGAACCATGTTCAATTTTTCCTGAACGGCCCTCTGAATACCAGAAAAGGAGGTCCCTAGTTCGATTCCTCGTGGTAACAAATTTTTGCATTTCGAGTTGACGTGCCAAAATTCGCGCAAAATGGAGTTAGAACCAACCAGAACAATCAGAACTCCATTTTGCGCGAATTTTGGAACGTCAACTCGAAATGCAAAAATTTGTCACCAAGAGGAATCGAACTAGGGACCCCCTTTTTCTGGTATTCAGAGGGCCGTTCAGGAAAAATTAAACATGGTTCTGTGGTCCCCGCATCTGCCCCTATATCATGCAAAAGACCGTTTTCAAAAAGCTCGTCACGCCCTGAAAGACCTTCCTGGTAGAGCGGGAGCCAAACTGGAGGAAATACCCTCCCATCGGGCTCTTCAGTAAGGAAAGGGGGAAAACGCTCTATAGAAAACTGTAGACGATCAAATGCTGAAGACTATAAAAGCAGCCATTCGAGCGAGGGTGATGAGTATTGAGGAACGTACTGAGGCTGATGCCGGTCATGGGGCGGTTGCATCAGGATCTCATAAAGGGACGGGGAGGGAGGTGGAAAAGTAAAAAAGTGAAAAGTTTTGAGATGTTCGAAGTACGGTTCACCCTGACCTGGGCCATTAGCCTCATATCGCTTCATTTATCTTTGTATCCTTGCTCACTTTGCTCTAGCAACCATCTTTTTACGTGTACGCTCTTCTTCTCAGCAAAAGACTGGACGTCACCACATTCAATTTATAGTATCGTATGTGATTCCTATGGTTCATGATGTACGTCATGCTACGGTATCGGGATGAGGCTGTAAACCCAACGTTCCCCCTGACCAATCGGAACGGTATAATGGGTCCAGCATATGCTTCGTAGAGTATCTATGGGAAGGAAGCTCAAACAACAATCTTCAAACCTCTCTACAGAAGGAACTCGAGCGTATTAGCGCCAGCTGCACTTTAATACGTGAATGCAGCCTAGAATCCGCAAAGAAATAGTTTTCTCATTTAAAACAGTGCCCAAACCCTTACGAAGTCGAAATCTCAGGCCGACACAATGAATGCTGTCATAATGAAGTCATATGGGCGGAGACAGCTGGTACGCCCTCGGCTGGTGTGGCAAGGTCATATGAGACGCCAAATGGCGGAAGACTTAAAGAATGCTAGGTTTAAGCTTTGGGTGCGGGTTAATCACCTTCGGACTTCTCGAGAGACCAGAAGCGCTATCTTTAAAGCAAATTGTGGTTCTAATTTTTGGCAAGTTGGGCGATGACGGTTGTGAGATGACGGATAAGTGGACCTCCCATGCAAAACCTCATTATGGGCGCCACTTCCCCGAAAACAGACACAGTAACTATCGTAACCGCGACTCATGACTAGCCACAATGAGATGACAGTCAACAGATACTAACTTCCGCGCCTATGGTCTCAGTAAGAAGGAGTTAGGGGTCCCACTTCGTGGTGAATATTTAAATCCCTGAACTGAAAATTTGATCAATTGACAAGTGCCGCTGAAAAGAGGAAGCGTTGTGAAGAGGCGGTTCAGCTGGGGGATATCGGGGGAATCAAATAAAAAAGCGATTAAGTAGAGATCCCTGTCTACGCCGTTATCACAGCTGATCCATGACTAATCCTATAATGGAGCTCTTGGTCTGGCTTAGTTGCAAACGAAGCTCAGAGACCGTCCTAACCAGGAAGGTCTTTCAAGCTTTCAAGTCTGCCAAGGTTTTCGGAACGGTATTTTTCATTGTATAGGGGCACATTGTTAGGAACCACATAACCATGGTTAATTTTTCCTGAACGGCCCTCTAAATATCAAGCAAAGGGGTCCCTGGATCGATTCCTCGTGGTGACAATTTTTGCATTTCGAGTTTCCCTTTCAAAATTCGCGCAAAATGGGATCGTACTTATGAGTATGGCATTCATTGTTTATGCTAACTCCATTTTGCACGAATTTTGAAGCGTCAACTCGAAATGCAAAAATTTGTCACCACGAGGAATCGATCCAGGGACCCCCCCTTTTCTGGCATTTAGAGGGCCGTTCAGGAAAAATTAACATCATGTTTGTGGTTCTTCTCTCTTCTTCTTCTCCTTAGCGTTAGTCCCGCGCAGTCGCAGGGTCCGCTGTCTTTGTCAGTCGTCGCCACTTCGCTCTGTCTAGGGCATCTCCTGCAGTGGCCGTGATTTCACCTAGGTCCTTCTTGATCACATCCTTCCACCTCTTCTTTGGGGCTCCTCGCGGTCGCTTGCCTTGCACTTCGAAGTCCATCGCATTCCTTATTGGGTGGCCTTGTGGTCTTCTCAGCACATGCCCATACCACCGCAGTCGCTGCTCCCTCACCTTCAGCTGGACAGGGGCAGTCTGCATGACCGCTCTGACATCCTCGTTCCTGACCCTATCCAGTCGCGTCCAGCCGCAGGCCCACCTCAGCATCCTCATCTCAGCGGAGTGAAGCTGCCTTTCGTGATTCTTGTTCAGGGGCCAGCACTCGCTGCCGTAGAGCATCGCAGGCCTTACCACTGTTCGGTACACCTTCCCTTTGAGCGCTCTGGAGCACCTTCGGTCGCAGAGGATTCCAGTGGACTCCCTCCATTTCATCCATGCCGCGTTGATCCTCCCCTTACTGCCTGGTCCACACTGCCGTCGGCCGCCAGATCACTCCCAAGGTATCGGAAGTCCTCTACTCTTTCGATGCTTTCACCATGCCCGTCCATGATCGGCTCTGCACCCTCTTCAGAACTCAGGAACTTGGTCTTCTTGACATTTAGCCGTAGTCCGCCTTCTGCCAGGACCTTCTGCTGCCATTGCTGCACCTTGGCCTGTAGTTCCTCTCTACTATCCGCTATCAGGGCGATGTCGTCTGCGTAGAGGATGGTCTTTAGCGGTCCTTCCATGAGCCCTTTCACCAGGACATCTAGTGTCAGGAGGAAGAGGAACGGGCTCAGAGCCGACCCTTGGTGCACCCCAACCGTGATGTCCACTTCCTTCGTTAGGCCGTGTGGGGTGCGTATAGCTGCCTTCGCCCCATCGTACATATCCTTCACCAGCGAGACCAGGTGTTCTGGCACGTTCCGTTCCCTAAGCGCTCTCCATAGTACCGCTCGTGGTAGCCGGTCGAACGCCTTCTCCAGGTCGAGGAAGGCTAGGTAGCAGGGTCGGCGCTTTTCTCGATACTTCTCCATCACTTGCCTTGCGATGAAGATGGCATCCGTTGTAGACCTTTCGGGCATGAACCCGAACTGTTCCTGGGAGATCGGGACCAGCTTCCGCAGTTTCGAGTCGACCAGTCGCTCGTACAGCTTCATGGTATGCGCAGTCAACTTGATCCGCGGTAGTTGGAGCAGTCCATCGCGTCACCCTTCTGCTTGAAGATGGGGACGATAGTGCTTGTTCTCCAGGCATCTGGCATCCTTCCTTCCGCAGTTACGTTGTTGAGGAATCGTGTGAGCCATCTATCCCGTAGTCACCCAGCGCCTTCCATGCCTCGATTGGCACCCCATCTGGACCAACCGCCTTCCCAACCTTCATTTTTGCTACTTCTCGACTAACCTCATCCTCTGTCCACAGTGCGATGGGGCCAGACGTTGCCTCTGCTTGCGAGCTGTC